ATATATATATTATTTATATATTATTTATATATTATATATTTTATAATATATTATTATATATATATGTATTCATATATATTAATATTAATATTAATATATATATTTTACATATATGCACTGTTTGTTGGAATATCGCCTCGAATGGTGTAATTTACCTGACAGTTGCACTATCCACAAATCTACTTTGTGATGAAGGCAGTGTGCAGGTTTTAAGAACCGGATTTGCTTATGCTAACGATAGATATTAATACAGTGTCTTTCCAGCTCACAATATGTAATAAAAAACTACAGCTTTTGCCACAGAATATTTTTGTGGATTGGAACAAAACATGCAGGCAGTCTCTGTGCTATCTTTCGTATGCTGCGGAGATTTTATACCCATCCAATTTATCTCATTAAAATCATGGCCAGATCTAAACTATAGGTACTTGCTATATCCCCAGGTTAATGGTAGTGCTCTTGTTCTCCTCCCTGACTTTTGCGTTCTCCGAGACTGTGCATAATCTGAAAGGGGTCTTCCTGCTGGATCGCGGCGTGCGACTGGCATCTCAGGTAAATTTTCTGGTGTAAAATGATACGTCTTGTCAAGTGTAACATTAGTTCCAATCGTCTTCCACTCATTTTCTAATCGTTCGTTGCGAGCGTAATCGTTGCGCCAAAGTCTCATTTTTGCTAGCATACTTTGGTCTATTTCTAGCAAATATACTCGCAGACGTACGAACGCGTGCTCTGCAACTGAATATTATATAGCTCGCCAGATATATAGAAATTATGATGCTATTTGCACTTATTGCCATGTAGCAGTCTGTTTGTGTAGTGTTTGTTTTGTCGTGCATAGTAATACATTGGTTTAATTGGAACTGTTTCCAAGTTACTCAATCGTCCTTGTCATAGTTGGATTGAGTCTCATTCACTCATATTGCAAACAAAAATATTGTTTTGATTGTTTTGAAGGGCTGGTGGACGGCTATATCCTTTGCGCTATCGTCAGCTGGGTCTCTCTACGCCAATGAACTCTCTAACCGATTAGGTGCGTGACATCTATATATGTTTATACTATTCGCATTAAGAGCAATTCACTTGTAGGAATGATTAGAGAAGTTGATAGGCAAGGGGTGGCTCTCATCTTAGAGGTGGTTTTAGAAACGTGTCACATCCAGATGCAGTCACCACAACACAAGATTGAAGAATATTTGGTCGTTTCTGATTTTTTTATTGGTCTCACGCTGCACGCTGCGACGTACACGATACCCACTACTCAAATACGTTCTCAAAATATATATCAACCATAACCATCATCATCATCTCCCATTTACAGGGGATATCGGTACACTCGCGCTCTGTAATGTGATGAGTGGGCTGTCAATGTTAGCTGCAACATATGCGCCACCTCAATACTCAGCTCTGCTGTTGATGTCCGGTTCCTTTATGTGGGGCGTTCAGTGGCCTGTGTCGTCGCACCTGCTGAACTCCTGTACACTCTCTCATCGACGAGCAACCATTATCTCTGTAGTATCGTTAGTTAAGGTACATTTATATGATGAAGGGGGGAGGTGGTACGATAGTCCTTAAACGGAGTTGGCTAAATTGTGTACTTTCAATACGAATGAAGTGGTCGCATCTTCCATGAAGTATCTCATTCCAAATTATCTCGTACTCCTGACTTCTTTTGAATATCACTGTTTAATCGGTGAGCGGTGGTGTGATGTGTCGTGAAATCAGTTTTTGATTGAACCCTGATTGCACTATGTCATGCATGTGCATTTGATAAGTTTGTAACGCTGGATTATTGATCTACACCGTTGCCTGTGCGCAATTATGGAAGTATAATGGTCGCACAGCTACGGAAATACGATTTGTCCGTTGAACATATTAGGTTCATTGATATGGCATGCTCTTGGTGAGTGATTTTCGACTATTGACCGTAACCTACACTCTTCGGATTCTTTTTCACTCGACAGAAGCTTGGACTCGCGATGTGTGCGCCGGGTCTTTCGTTGATAGTTGATACTTTTTGCGACAAGTCAAACACTATCTTACTGGCGTTCCAGGTATTGACTGTCAATACGAAGAATGGCTTTGAAAGTGCCACTGTGAAGCATCCATGCTTGCTTGATGTTTGCCATATCGCTCCACCTTTCTACTATAAATCATCTTCCGTTAATACTGCAACACGAAATACTCACACTCCGCAACTACTTGCAGGCGGCAAGCGTGCTTCTGATGTTTATACCCGTAGTTCTGCTCTTGTATCCAGAGGAGCAGTCGGCAACAGCACTGGCTCAGTCCTTCGAAGACTTAATGGACGATCTACACAATTCGAATCCTTCGATATCAGGAGAGACGACTATGGCGACGGTTCTGAGTGAGAATATTCTGAGTGATGAAAGGTTACTGAGTCCGAATGATGGCAATGAGACAAAGAAAACACGATAAAATGTGCGATTAGCCTAATTATGTCCTTTCGTGTGTACATTTCTTATGCTACCCTGCGGCCCACTTGCATGTGAGTCTCATCGGCCTTCTCGACTGTTATATTGCGCATCCATTTAAATGACGAAAAAAAACATCCCGCGATTGTCACTACGTTAAATACATCAATGGAGGCAATTTTCGGCATGCCCATTCGAGTGAAACTATCAGTTCTTCACCTTTAATTTGGCTCCACACAGTGTTCTACACACACATGGTGCCTTCCGCATTAATTCGGATACGAAAGCTGCTCTCGGTGTACGAGAACGTCCATTGATTTTAACAATAAACTAATTGAGCAAAGTCTAGACAAAGCAAATTGCTACCGTCCAAGGTTCTTATAAAGACAGTGGACAGCCAATCAGAAGATATTGACATTGCCCTGGAGGTATCAAGTGGGCTTCCAAGGTACATGTGACCGCGCTTGATTTTGTGTGTGTTTCGTAAATGTCTCTTTCTTGAATCCTCCTTTATACTATCAGGACCCTGCCATGGATCGAATTCCATGCATTTGAGCTATCAATATTAAACTTTGACGTTTATGTGTTGAAAATTCAACACTCTAGCGGAAACTACCATATCATAATCATCGAAACGGGCGCAACCTGTTATTGTCACGCACCCATATCTTCCCGTGCGGGTGCGTTTTCGGCTTGCGATCGAAGATACTGTCTCTCCCTTTTGTCTCTGGCAGTGGGTTCTGTAGGTTCTGGATTGGATGATGATTTAGGAGAAAAATCATAGTTACTTTTGTGCTTGGTTTGAAGTCCAGAGGTAATCAGTCGAATTGATTATACATACACATACGTGGAAGTTCCCTGCTCTGCTTCTCTCTCAGAGTCGTCTTACCTTTACTGGAAATGCATTTTGGGAGCCCGTGAGGCTGTATCGGAATCGATCATCACCCGATCTTTTACCTGTTTTTGCGTAAATGAATTGAACACCTTTACAAGTTTGATTTGTGAACAGGCACCCAAATCTGCATCAATTGAAATGATGAAAATCATGTACACGAGATTCGAGTGCCAGTCCGACTAGTAGGAAACGGAGACTATGGGACCTTTTGGTCCTGAAATTGACCATGACAGTAGAAACTAGTACGCTTCTACTCTATCTGAATATTACTTACGTGAGTATACAATCCTTTTAGACTCCGCAGATGGAGAGGAACTCGTTGATAACTCCCGCCGTAGTTGGCATACATCCCCCGATGGCGTGTTGTAGTGTTTATGGTTTCCAGCCGGTTCTTCTATTTTTTTGTTATGATGCAAGTGAATGGTCATATGCTTGGCCTTCGGGATCTTCAAAAGAACTATCTGTTTGTAACTGCAGGACTTATTCAAGTTTTTATAAGCTAAGAAAAGCGGTTCAAAGATAAAGTACAATACCTTTTAGCATCCTCCCTGGTGATGTTTGCGGACGCAAGATTGGCCTAGTATGGTAGTTGCGTGGGATGTATACTTCTTCATCTGAATCAGCAGTATCAGGTTCAGGTTCGGGATATAATCCGTCTACAAGTAGGATATGTAGTCAGATATCAGTCAATGCGCCGCCCATTGTTTCTGCATTTGCATTAAGGTACTGGATTTTGTTTTTCTTTTATTCATTGCACTTCGTTGAGATGGGGGGATCGATCGTTGGGGCAGTGTCATCTCACTATACAGTTTGTACACGTGCATTATCTTCAACATGGAACCTATTCATCAAAACAATTGTGATCGTCTGCGTCGAATCCAAGTAGTCGAGATGAAGTACATCTCCACTATCCAGACGATAAGCACATGAAAATTGCTAATACCGCTTTGTTAAAATATGTTCTCTTTTTTTTTCAACCGTCTGTAATCAATACTTCCGTCTTACCAGAGGGCGAAGAGGGCAGTAGTTTCCGCACTAAGGGCGTCGCTTTTGCTTTCCTTACTTGCGGTGCTGTGCAGATGAACGTAGAAAAAATAGGCGACTCGTTTACAATCAATCTTTAGAGGTGATAGCGTGAGATAGGACTACAACTGTCCATCACGTCAACAACTATACAACCGAGACAAACCTCGCTGAATAAATTTCACTTTTTGGCGAACGTTTTAAATGACTCCAAACAATATACAAACTACCGAAAACGACTTACCACTACAAACGGATTTATTCGCAGCAGGCGCCTGCAGAATAAATATGATAGTTTGAAAATTAATGTCTTCGCCTCACGGATGGATTTACAAGATTCTCATCACATCGTGGTCTGGAGGACTGAAACTGACTTTTAAAGCATGAGAATGTTTTACCAACTTGTCTGCTATATTCACGGCTGAAATTCTCAGTGTATGTGAGTAGCACTATCGACTGGGAGTGGCGCGAAAACGGAAAGATATTCACCTTTTTTTTTTGCAATGTTAGTCCTAAGCCAATACAGAAAAAAAATATCATTGTAGCTTATTCCACTGTGTACTACGAATGTTGCACAATCAATCAATCGTACCTTCCTCGAGGTGGCTGACGGAATATTCGTTATATCACGCAGTGCTGTCCGCGGCTTCTGTCTTCGCAGCTGCTCGACAACTCCATTATTTTCATCAGTCATATTCTAAGGCTCTATTTTCCGTTTTGTCAACTATTCAGCTTATCGATCGACCCCTTAACATATGATTGATACATCAATTTGTACACCAGTTCCGTGGTATGTACCGGGCTCTAGCCGCTGTATATATAAACTGCTCATTTGGACGTGTGTCTGGTCTTTCTTGAAGCACTATGCTGTATTTGATTAATAGCCTATACTTTGCATAGATATTGTTGAATCTGGGAATCGCGTATCTGTCTCTACGCATGCGAGTAGAAGTGGTCAAAACCATACTCAGTAATACACAATATCCAGTAGGACTTCCTGCATGATCTAGCATAGCACCTTACGTGGGCCACGACATTGCCATCGCAAGTGTTATACGAGCATTCTGAATGATTTCAAATGGGCATATTGTTTTGGTTTTGTTTGAGTACAGTGTACTGTATGCAACAATATCTTGTCTTGAAGCAGTCTATCAGTTGATCTTGGGTTGGGAGCGTATAAAAAAAATAGGGGCTGTCTATTCGATCATCGCACTGTGTGTTTAGTCAATAGTTTCATAATTTCTTCACACAGTGAATTAATTTACACGGTTTTAAGTTCAGATAGGACACAATCTCGATTTTCGTTTGCACCGCCATGTAAACCTTAAACCACAGCCACCTGATAGAGATCCTGAATACAGTTCTGGCCGATTCAGTTAAATGCTCGTCATCATGCATTAACAACTTACATTTTACACACTTGAGTAAATATAGGTCATCCTCATCTAGATCAACATCAACTATCGTGCAGTAAAGAGTCTTGGAGATGGCTTCCTTCCACACGTCAGATGCGAAACTTTATGCGTGCCAGGCATCAACCAACTCATATTGTAGTTTATATGTGCATATACCACAGAACAAGTTTTCAGCTGTGTATTGACTTTCGTGTGCATCGTTGGCGCTTGACAGCCTACGCCACTACTATAACTATATGGACGAATCTGACTTTCGTGTGGCTACATACTATGCCGCTATGTGTACGTACGTATAGGATTTTGGGAAGCTGCTTACGCGCCAAAAAAAAAACTTCTGTACTTTTGCCTGTACTTTTGATTGGACGCCAAGTGATCTTCCTGATAAGAATACCAAACACCTTTTAGTAAATACATCATCATTTAGTCTTAGTCACAATTACTGTCACATATACATACAAAATTACACATGCATCTTTTTATCAATCACTGTTTTTTAGTATACAGTATACTCTATAGATCACAGATAGTTGTGTTTCATGTCCTTCATCTCGACGCGTGATAGCCGATTGTCAGCCGTCAGCCATGTAGACCTGAAGCGAGGAATTGCCCAGGAGTCGCGTCATGATATAGAGCACGTGATACACCTCAAAAGTTTAGAGATTTATATTCAGACAACTGTTGCGCTTCGATCGCTGCAATCGAAGATTTGCTTTAAGTGGCAACTTATGATCCCCAAAAGGCTACCATTTTGGATGATCGTTCACACCATACTACGTCTTCCAACTCTTGCTCCGGTGCATCTCGCTCGACGACTAAATCGTTACTATGGATTCTATAATCATAGTCTCTTTGAAAAGAGCAGAGACTATACTGAAGTATTTTCCAAAGACCGAATAATAGACAACAGCAAGTACATTCGACTGGAACGCAATCGTGTTTTCTACCTCACTGGAATATTCATTAGAACCATTCTGCAATACGTATCTATGTGGTACCTTACACCGCGCATATATAGGGTGCAATCTGGATCTATGGGAAGCTAATATTGTTTTCTCTCCAACAAGTGTTAACTTAATTTCTACTCCATATAAATAACTAATAATTTCTATTACTATCTTTGGCTTGGGCCACATACCAAGCCGAGCGATGACACATGTGTCAGCACTTCAGTGTATGCAATGAAAGTAGCGTACGATAGATTGGGATACGATGCTTTTCACCTGAATGAGAGTGAAATACAGATTTCCAATCCCAGACTTTCCGTTTCAATGGCAAGCAGGTGTGTGCCTGTGTATACACCCTCTTATTTTGGTAATCGTTTCTTCTCCTCTTGCCCCTCGTCATATTTAACCTTCGCGTACAGCCCAGATCCCGCAAACGAGATCACAATACCCAGCGCACTAACCGGGTCGAAAGGGACTGACTCAAGCGCGACAACTCCGATGATGATGGTCAACACGTCCTTGAGCTAAGAGATCAATGTTTGTGTCTAGTAAGCAACATACTTTGACAACAATTTAATTGTGATCACAATCCCATACCCTTTCTAAATATGTACAAACAAGGCAGCGTGTGCAATTAAAACATAGGGCGATCTCGTGCTTGGGTATGAGGTTTAGGTATCTAAAATCCGTGTTTGTCACGCACTTGACTCTTCTCACCACCACATAGACTAGACACCAATTGCAAAAACAACAGAAAGGTGATTGCGCTGAGGCTCGTATGTGCTAGTCACAACCGTGTTAAATACCGGCGTTACGATTTAATATGTTCATGTTGGTGTACTGTAGTATCGAATGTATAACGAGTGACAAACTGTAACTACATGTAATGAGATAAAACGCAAACTGTATCTACATGTAATGAGATAAAACAACGATTTGGTCTTTAAATAAAAAGAGAGAATACACACAAAAGAAACGAAGATGACATTAGAAATGAAATCTACAAACATGTAAAATTCGCATACCTGCCCGCACACACTTTGCGTAAGTGGTGAATTGACGGCTGTATTCCAGAATATTGAGTAATTCAGCACAAAAGCTAAGGTCATGGAGCCCAGCATAGATATTTGGAAGCCAAAGTCATCCAGGCTGTCGAACTCTTGCACAGCTCTATATATAAGGACGATCTACTGCTCAGTCTGACGAGAATTAAATATGCATACCGCAGATGCCAAAGGATAAACCCCCGAACAGTATGTAGAATCTTGGATTGGTACCACAATAGTAATATAGAAACTATTCAAAACCTGATGAGCACAGCCTTATAAATATCCATCAGCACTTGCAGATTATAAACTTTTGCACACTTGTAGAACTTAATGCGAGCTGTAATTGGCAAAATGAACTTGACTGGACTTACGAAAATTCCCCCAAAAATAAGCAGAGGAGCGTCAGGCACGGTATGCACACCACATTGTTGTAGTACATAAGGCCCCATGTACTCAGTCGTGTTTGTTGTTTGACTTTTTGAATCAGGACCAAATACAGTGCCGTCAGGAAATTGTAAAAGAAAAGATTCCCGTAGGCGGCGGCATCGAATTCCAAATCTCGAATTGCCGCAACGAATGCACCAAACTGCAAGTGTGAATTCATGTGTCAGCTTAAGTTTGTTATGTACTGCAGGACCATTCTGCTGCCACTGTAAGCTAGTCTGCATTTGTGACACATGTAGTGGTGCATGTATCAGCGTGTTTTGTTGATGTAAAATATCAGTGCTTGTAAGCTCGTGGATGGAGATCGCACGGATGGCAGAACGAAGATTAATAGTGATGATATCACTTGCAAAATACATACACTACTGCTTTCTATATTAAGACAGATTCTCTATTATCGACATTTTGATATTATTCCATCTCGTCTCTCTCTGAGGTCTCAAATCTGCTGGAATACATAAGTAGTCATAGACACACGAGAACGCCAGCGGTTAAAACAAGGGCTTCTTGAATATCACTCATAAGATCGCCCTTGAAACACGATTGTCAAAAATGAATACATGAAAGCTCTGCACAATCAAGTGTACACAGAAACAAATGACCGCATGCGCAGAAACCATGTCTTCAAACATACCATCATGACCCCGACACAGCCCATCACTTGTTTACTGGCCACTTTCCCTTGTAGAATGTAGTCCAGGCCCATGATGAAGATGAGCGTTGCTCGTCTTAAGGCTGTATACATCGCAATATTCACCTGGACAGATGACAATGCAAATAAAATTACACCAGAAAAGTTGTCTGATATCGACTATTCCTTCTCAATATCACACAACAATGCTATATCAGACTACGTGCACCCAGTAGAGATAGCTGTTTATGTTGAATTGTACTCTCAAACACTGAATCTCAAGCGACGCACGTATGATTCAGCACAGCACACGGCTCCTAATTGCAGCTTAGGCTAGAAACATATTAACCATGCAATATAATGCAGATGAGCATACAGCTATGCTTGAATGACCATTGCTTTCGTGTATGCAGCGGAGGCTGGAATTCATACGTCTGACGTTGACGCTCTAGTACTTTAAAGAACGATACTATGTCCACACAACGAAACTTTACGAATGCCGTGTAGCATGTTAAATAATCAATGTGCGACATTTAACGTGTCTTGGTTTCTTCCCCATTACTCAAAAACATATTGATTTAAATCTTATTCAGACCCACCCAGAATATTCACGGGTCCTTAGAACGTCACTTATATCAACTTACCCCACGAAGTGAGATCATTCCCCAGACCAAGAAGACGATGAATGTCAACGACAGCGGGAGAGTTTGCTGACCAGTGAGATGAATGAAGGAATAAATTGCTATTCAAGAAAATTGGTTTACCCCCGAGGAGTGTTTGTTGAGCGAACGCACGGGCTAATTTCCAGACATTGGATTATTCCGCGCACTACAAAACTTTAAGATACATACGAATACTTCAATGATTTATATGCGCGTCTGTCAACATATTCGCGCGGTACCATTAATGCCTCATGAAAGCACCTCTAGCAAGGTAAGCTGAAAAGTATATTACACTTGCTGACTTCACGCTTGTCTATTTTCTTACAGTATCAACTCATCGAGTCCACGCCTCCTAGCAGTCATAAAAGAAACAATATAAACCAGGCTCGTGTATGCAGGATTGCGAGAGTTTACATACGCTTGTAACGATAATTAGAATTGACTACTTCAGATTAGGTTATTATTCCTATTCCGGCCAGATAATTAAGGACCACGTATATACATATACATAATCGCTCCGTACACGCTCTCTGGATTCAAGTGTTTACGGTTCGAAATTGAATATATATCGGAGGAGTACAATCTCTCCTAGTCAAGCTCTCACCAAGACTCACCCACAAAATTTGCTGACTGAAATTCTCCATTTCGATGACCCTGGCCTTCTTCAGCACCAATAGCATGGCCAGTGAAAAGACCAGCTGCATGCGACCGGGAAAATTTGAACTTATTTTAACGAGAACTTTTGTGATTTTAGTCTCGCAGACTAGCATCTACTACTCATCCAGTACGTGCAAGTGTGACACGTCCACGAAATGTGCACGCTAACGCCTGCACGAGGTCGCAGGAGTATACACACAGTTGCTAAGGATTTTGGCGTAATTAAGGGCACATATTACTTTTCTTTACTCGGGAACAGACACTTGCAATCCACTACCCATAATGCATCATTTGTCCTTTTGTGAGCCCCTTTTTTGGTATTATTTCGAGCAGTTACAATTCGATACTCGGTGCCTCCTCTACGCAGCTAAAAAGAAATAACCAACGCAATACCACTAATTGGTTTATATGAAGTAACTTGATCTACACTATAGTCAACTGTGTTGAAGACGAAGCTTGAGCGGAACTACCCACTCCCATATACATACCTGACTCAGCACCATCAAATTCGGGTATGGAAAGCTATAAGTAGATAACGCAACCTTGTTGAATATCACCAGGGATGCTGCAACGATCATATACGAGCACGCGGCAGCTAACCGGGTGGACGTCGATTGTTGCCTCGGCGCGTCCATCTTGTAGTCAACTTAGTGTGAAAGTATATTATTCAGAAATTATTGACTGAATGTGCAGTCGCATATATGTATCTAAATATACCTATCATATATATGTCTTAATATATTATATATATATATGTGTGTGTGTGTGTGTGTGTGTGTGTGTGTGTGTGTGTGTGTGTGTGTGTGTGTGTGTGTGTGTGTGTGTGTGTGTGTGTGTGTGTGTGTGTGTGTGTGTGTGTGTGTGTGTGTGTGTGTGTGTGTGTGTGTGTGT